TTTTACCGACCCGCCTCGTCTGTAGTTGAATGAAACCTGTCTCGATTTACAATAGTTTTCCTTCCAATGCGACTTCATTTCGAATTTTTCTCACCAGCGTTTGAGCGATTGAGTAGTAAAAACTGTGAATAGCCGTTGTGTAGCAAAATTTTACGGCCCATTTCAACCAGGTCGTCTAACTTCGCACGGCCAATTTCACCTGAGATCGCGAAAAACTGCGTCAAACTAAGTATTTTTTAAAGGTTTGAGGAAATGTGAATTTAGACTCAACCCACCTAATGGCGATCGCTATGTTTATATAACTGTATGAATATCTCATCTGCTTTACGTAATCCATTGTGCCCCTCCTTCAGTGGAAATAATAACACGACGCCATGACAGTTTTCACGCAAGGTTTTGACTTCACGGACGTTTCCCTCGAATTGTAAATATTTTAATTTTATTTTTTATCTGGATTTTGTCATGTCGTCGTGATGGAATATCCATTTTTGTGGACGATAAACGTCACTTTCATAAAACAGGCATTATCTCCGTTCGTATTTTATGGTTGGTTAGAGAGTTGGTCAGCTCCTACAGTTTTTCTCAGTTTGTCTTGACATTTTCACACTATTTCGACGACGTTTCTACGTACAAAAGGACGTCTGAGCTTATTTTTAAAGCTCTGCATTATCGGACAATGACATTCGAAGTGTCAAATACTGACCGGCATTAAATATACGGCACAGATTCGGCTTGACAACTTTGTAGTATGAAAACAAAACGTACTATATATACGCCTGGACGCCCATTAGTTAATAAACAACTCATAAACTTAGTGTGAAAGTTTCACTTGAAATAAACAACAATTGTGAGATCTATTTAGATTTGAACTTCCCTGGTAAACTGAAAAACACAAGTGGAGATAATGGTTAATTCGCATAACCATTCATCCAGTAAGAAGTTTGATAATGCTAATAATTAAAATGGAGCAGTCACAAATTTAAATCTATTATCGTTTTGTAAAGTGTTAAATATAGTGCATAATATGGAGATCCTCTCATTACTTTTTTTCACCATGTTTCTTTTGGTTATTTATGTACAGCCTTGCTAAATCTTGCTAAGCGTTCTGGAGAATGTTTGTACCTGTTTTCTATATTTTCAAATCGTCTTTTGAGTATGTTCCACTATATTTTTAACATTTAATAGCCAAGACTGCTTTGATAATAAAAAGCAAATAAAAAAATCACTCCCAAATGCCTACGAACCTGCATCTATACCTTAAACATGTTTAATATACCTATTTATGCAAAAGGATTTTCTGTCAACAGATACTTGTCAACACAACACAACACTAAGAATCAACACTCATTTGACAGCAGATATGTTAAAAAATAAAATGAAACTAGACATTTGTCAATTACAAAGAGCTGTTATACCAGTATGTATGACCGAACACATTTGTTCTAATGATTGAATAGTGTCTTCTTAATTGCATCACATCGCTGCTATGGTCGGCGTCTTACAAATGTGGTCTGGGGCTTTTAACGTACTAATCTTGTATTGAACAGTCAGACACCGACACGTAAGTTAACATACCGTGACATAGTGAACATGAGACCTCAAAGGCAGGCCACGTCTATTAAAAAGCAAACGACTGCAGACAATCGAGAAAACAATAAGAACAAAAATTAAGTCACGGTGGCAAGTGCATTAAACAATATAGTCAAACCAGTAAAAGAAAGATTAATAAATCTCAGTGAATACAGTATTTGAATAAAAAAACCTGCAACCCCATAGACAACCATTAATATTTCAAAACCAGCAGTTGTACATTAGGATTCCCGCATAAGGTTACAGGAATGAAATAATGCATAATTATAGCAGGGAAGAAATAATGTTTCTTTTATCCAGGTTATACATTCTCTTACTAATATATTTTAGGTATTTTTATGAGTGTGCAATTACTGCAATATGTACACCCAGTAAAATTATCAAGACAGCAAATGCAACCAAAGTACACATGCAATGTAAACAAAAGTATCCTGAGTGATTTGGAATTTGTTAAAAATACGTCGAAATGCTATATCTAATTGGTGATGAGAATTGCGAAGCCAGTTATGTAATTTTTATAAAATATTTCCGTAAATATCACTGACAGCGAAAAACGCCCATCGCGAAATAAAATATCTAATCGAACGGGGCTGGGATTGTCACTACCAGGGATAGAAAATGGACACACACATGGCTCAGTACGGGTATCACATGCATTGAGTTTAAATACCTGACCCGTCAGTCATCTGCTCGTGCCATAAGGTGGTGGATAGTTATCATAGCCTACGGGTTTTACCTTGGCAGTGCTGGAATGGCCGAGCAAGGCAGTAACGTGATACACACATTGGCATAAAATAAAATCACATTGTTACATTGGCAGTGTTGGGTGAACCATAATAATGAAATAACATGTCCAATATCACTTTACGTACCTATGCGATGAAATGTAATCATAAAACAACATTTAGCATGTTTACCCATGTAACACACTTCATTGATATGAACAAACATGGTTCGATAACCCTGGACAGCTTTCAAAAATGCTGCCAGTTACTAGATGGACATGCGCAATTCGACTTTATGACGTCACAAGCACAATGCATTCTGCACCCCTATAAATCCCAGTGCAAACGTCACACCCGAACGTTTACTCAGGCAGCACATACATATCCATAAATCAGTCTATAAATTAAACTAAAGTTTCACAAATGTTACTATTTACACAGTTCACTACGGAAAGTGTGAGCGCTATATTTCTAAGTAGTTCAAAATATCTATATTTTTACTTTGACAGTGTCGGATCGTGACACCACTCTATTTGTTGGTGTAATTATGTCAGATATCCATGTAAAGAAATGTAAATATAATTCACAACAAATAAAAATACCAGCTCGTCCCGGTGTGATTGGCTGATTGTCAAGCTTTTGTCAATCGACTGTAAAAGCGCGGGTCTTTAGCTCTCCATGAGTAGTTACGTCATTCACTATTTGTAAATTCGGGCAATCTTTTTCAAATATCTATGTCTGTGAACTTTTGTACAAATTTACAACTGTAAATCCTAGTGACATTTATCAGCAGATCAACCGACGTTTAATTATAACTTATACGGGGTGAAACATGCAGAGTTACATTTTTCACTTACTATACACTAACCTTAGCTCTGAGCAAGTTGGACCGCTCCTGCTGTGTCCTAAATACATTGCTGATTGATTTATAATATTTTTGAAATTAAAAACAAACAAACATAAATTAGAAATGGTTGCACGTTCTAACCATCGAGCATAAATTGAAAAATGGTCCTGGTCACATTGGGTGTGTTTGTATAAAATTATAATACGTTGCACAACTAAATCTGCAATCGAAGCCAAATCAAATGCATCGTATACATAGTAGACGGATCACCAATTTAAATATAGATACAACATAATTGTAAACCACAGTGACCTTGCAATGACCCTTGTTACGAATGATAAAGGGTATTCCTGAAGTCACGATTAAAGCATTCAAAGCAAACAAATTTATATAACGAGCCCCGATTGTGGCATGAGACAGCTTCGCCATATTTATAGATACAAAGGAGGTGTCTGATCAAACACACGTGGCTTTCTTTCAAAAACGATGATTTAATTAATAAAGGCAGAAATTGCACATTAGCGAACAATACATTGGATGAATATCACCTAGCCTAAAGCAGAAAAAATAAACACTCAGTAATTAAAAATTACTAAGTGCCAAATCCTATACATAACAGCAATATTCTCCAAATTTGCACTATAAAGTCAGGAAGTATAGAATTAGCACTCGCCCTTTAACAAATAGACAGAAATGAATCATCAAATACTTGAACAGTTAAATAGGTTTACATAAAATGTTACCCAGAACTATCCATTTTCAGTCCCGAATACACAAATATGTTACATTGTTGTTTATGCTTCCCAACATTTAAACGTGTTCACCCATGCAACAATGAAATTAACCTACATGGCCGAAAATCTAAACAGAAAACGTGACACGCGGTTTGCTGTACTATACGACTGAAACGCTATAGTTTAGTCAGTCGCTGAAGACGTCAACACACACAATAAGCATTATGTAGCCAGATTCATTGAATAATCCAGGATGTCAAGAAAAAATGGCTATAAAATCATCGGGTTATTGAATCAGGTACTTACAACGTATTTCACTGATATGTATATTTCACTAAGGCGATGAATACGGTAAAATACACTGATTTAATACAAATGTATCACGACAAATTAAGCATACACTTCAATAAAAACAACTCATCCCAGCTAATTAGTGAACAGCTCTGCGTAATTACTAAGGCATCTGAGATTATAGAACTATTGAAAATATGTCACCTAAATACTATAAGATACTACATTCTATGGAGCCAAAAAGAAAACGCGCTGACACGATATAAGTTCTGTAGTGATGCACACCATAACCCTATATGAACAAATCGATTTCCTACGCACGTTGAATCACGTCACAACTTTCCAAGACAACCTACGGTGTCAGCAAACAACACACCGTTCAGCCCATAATGCACCAAACTAAACTGCACTAGCATGTTAAAAGAACACAAGAAATACTCTATACTCTATACATACACATACATTATACAAATTAACATGGACACCATAAAACCTTTGAAACAAAGCGGACTGGTTGATTTTAATTTTAAAAGTGTGTGGCTTACCTACACTAATATCATCTTTTGAGGAAAACAGACTAATATAATTCTATTGGTCTAATACCCATTGGCGCAACTCGACAGAGGTCCGTTTACATAAATATGTTCTTGCACACAATTTCAGTTAATGGAATTTCTAGCGTTATCAAATTCGAATCACATTCAAATTTACAAATCCTACATTAGTTTACACTATTTTAAATATAATATTATGTATATGGAATAATGTAAATGTAATGTAAACTTGAATATTATGGAACACGAGAGAAAAATGGCGCCCTATTCTACTACATTTCAATGGTCGACATATGTCATTCATTAATTATATGTCATCCATTGAAAATTAGTCTGCAAGTCTGTTTGACCCATCAACTTCAACTTTAATGTACATTGTATTTTCTTTCACGTATCGCTCGTATTCGGCTTCAAAATCTTCTAACTTCATAAACTGTGGACAGCCAGGCAGAGTGGTCACGTCATTAGTTGGCGACGGTCGATGTCCACTTGATGGATCGGGGATGTACATTGCAACGATATCATTACCACTGTGATCTAGATCCTTCAAAGTAAAAGTAACCTACAGAATACAAGGAAAATACGTAATATTATTTGTTTGTTCTCATGGTATAAACATTATGTAAAATTGTTTGACTCGTGTGTCATGGTAGACCTCAACACAATATAGAAAACATTTTTGTAGCTATAGTAATTCACTAGGTTATGTATGTAAACAATACCTGTTGTTGGAAAGGCCAGGGTAGCAAAAAATCGAGGTCATTCATCTGAAGAATTAGATATAGTGACAAATGGCTTTCACTACCAATTCCATCTCCATTCAAATATAATCTAACGCACATTCTATACCCTTCCTGGCCTGTGTAAAAACACGGAGACGTCAGTGATGCATTGTTGTCACGTGCGTCGTCGCAATGTTGCTGGACACCAGTTATCTTCCAAATCATTTTCCCATCAAAGCTTGGCGGATTTTCTTCTAATACACGCAGGCGTTCTTCTTGCTTGACCATCTTTCGGTCCTGCGATTCCAAAATACTATCTGTTAATCGAAGACTATCCTCTAATATTTGGATTTTCTCTTCAAGGGATGCTAGTTCTTTTTGTAGTTTGCGTTTGTATGTATGCGTTCTCCTATATTTTTCCAATAAAGCACCTAGCTCTGTAGCCCTTTGCTCCATCTTCTCAATCTGATCCCATATCTCTTCTAATCGAACTCTGTTTCGCGTACTTTCATTTGCCACCCTAAATCCTTTCTTCAATTCCTCTCTATTCAGCCTGTAAGTAGTCGAGCAACTTCTTTGCATGTTCTGTAGCTTAAAGTAAACATAAACTTAATATGTATGTGGTCAAAAAATGTGGTCGGTAATGTACATGGACCATGCAATTACAAAAATATACAGGATTAAATGTGTACATGAGACAAATGCTGTGACTGTATGCGACAGGTTATTCAAAAAGTTTGATCAATCATTACATGCATCAGGTTACAAAAGGATGAAATGCCTGCTTTTGGTAAATTGTTCAACGACTATGCATCAGATAACTTGAATCAAACCATGACCTAGAACGGGCGTGCACATGCGTCCTATGAATGTTCAAAATATGAACTCAATCAGGCCCGAAAACATTGGAAGTTGAAGTAAAGAATGTATTATATATGTAACACAACGAAAAAGACTTCATCTGAATAGTAAACGATACATTAGAAATATACATAGTACGATTATACAAGTACTAAGCAAGCAGTCAATACATATCGTGTTAACCATGGGGTTTTCGTTATACACACCATTGATTGAGCTAAATCACACTGCGTGAAATCTTCAGCTACACCATCATCTGAGCATATCTGACATAGAGGTCTACCAGGCATTCTAAAATAAAGAATATTATAACTCAGTCTTTAGGTAATAACACGGTAAACAAGTACTAGGGAACGCCATAATGAAACATTTAATGTGCATAACAAAATACAAATCAAATCCTATGTTTACCTAGGAGTTGCCAGAACTCTTAGACACGCCTCACAAAACCTATGCCCACAAGATGTTGGCACCGGGCTTCTGAGGATTTGCTCGCACCTGGTGCATCGATGAAGCTCCCCATTGTCTCGTGGATCCTGTTTGCTATTCGGCATTATTGTTATTAGTGTTAAGTAATAATGTACAGTGCCTGCAATAAACAGAATGAATATGTGGTGAAAAAATCTTTGATCACTGGCCCAGATTTCAAAACTAAATGACTCTTCCGTTGACTTTTGTTTGAAATAGACCAAATGATGGCGCTCCAAGTAAATGATGATAATCAATACAGGCTAACTCATCTACAGCTATTTGTAACATAATAAAATGATAACAATAACGATGGCTGCTACAGATAAGTCGACAAATACATATACGTCAAGTAAATTTAATTGAGCAACATAGTATAAGGATATATTTAAATAAATATAAATATAACAAATTTCTCCCTTATACATCATTCAGATCACCTGCGGTAGAAAATAAGGATTAGCTTCATTTCAATATATTTATTTGCAAATACAGCAGAATCATTGTGAATTTATAGGTTCCAAATTGTAAGCCTGTAGAGAATTCGGAATTCTGTGTAAATTATAGTGGTGTGTACCGGATGTGTTAATCCCATGTACTAACATTTTCTGTACATTACTGTCCACCTTCAATGGCATTATTGTAAAAGTTTTGATTTGAATAAACCTGAATAAATCTTGAATACTCCTTTGACATTCAAGATAATAATTTAAAGTAAAGTATACAATGTTTGGATTTGTTAGCTTGTCCTTTTAAAACAATTTGAAAAATGCTTAGCACAAGATATTCCAAACCTATTTTTTCGTTACATTTGTTTTTCTTCACAATTATTTTGTATTGCATGCTCTATAACATTTCTGATAGCTTTTTGAAATATTACTTTGGATTTCAATAGTTGTTGCATCAAGCCCGACCCAATCAACATTCGAATGTAAACTTAAATTACCCTTTAACCTATTCCACCTATCGTGCGTGGTCGTATGACGTTGATATATGTATGTTTTTATTTAAACTGGTAAAATTAGTTTTTCATTAGAGAAGTAAATGCACTGTCACATTATTGCAAAATTGGACCTTCAACTGGTGAATTAATTAAATTGTCACGTTCACTGTTTCTATATAACATAGTAATGACATTGATTTTTTGTATTCCCTGATATACACCTGTTCAATGGTTCATTTAAAAAAAGTCATTGTCCAATGAACATGACAAAATATATATTGCATTATTGATTGAAGGGACAACAACCACTATTCAGTAGCATGGACGAACAATTGTAAATTTACTATTAAACATTCACAGTACATTAAAACGAAATATTTTTTCGGTGACTGGAAATTGTAAAATTGATTCTATAGGGTGAAATAATTACACCACCCGCTTATGTATGACGTAATATCGTACATCATATAGCACCCTCACAACATCGTATCCTCATAAATTACCATGTTTATTTGGACTTAAAGAACTACCTGCTGCTGTCAAGATGAATATATTGTATTGTATAGCATAGGTATTCAACAGAAATATTTAAATATCAACTTACAGTGAAATGTGGATTGTATATCAACACACTGCTTGACTGATGGTGATGAGCATCAATTGTTAACCAATATTCTATTGTGTGTTTTCTGACAAACCATCGTTGTATGCTTTAGTAAGAGTAAGAATATTGGTGTTTCAACATTTTAAATTGGTTAGCACACAATCAATTTCTCCTCTAGTTCCCATGGTGTTTTAGCTACGATTTTTGACTCTAACATGGCCAGAAAAGGTGCTTTTTCAGATTGTATGTACTACGTTAATGTTTTAACAATTGAAAAAAAAATTGACACCTATCCTATAAAAATAAATTTGTTTGAAATTGTTTCAAACCAAGATGACCTCCCTTGTCCACAAAACTATATATTTTCGGAAAGCTCATTGTATGAATTTTAAAAATTTTTGAGTATTTTTGTTATGGTCACTGTAGTTTGAAATGTGCACAAAAATGTGCTTTTTTGGTCAAAAGTAATTTTAAAAAATTAGCTTCTAATCCATGCTTCTGTTTCCTGTCAACATTGGTTTATGGGTACATCTGTTTACTATGAAGAAAGTGAAAATTTCAATACAAAAGGTCAAAACGTCTAGGAGCTATTTATTTTTAAAGTTCTGGGATGTGCACTAAAAAGAAGCTGAGATAATTGCTAATTTGCATAACAATTCACTCAGTAAGAAGTTTGCTAATGCTCATAATTAAAATGGCTGTAACAGTTCCAAATTTAAATGTATTATCGTTTTGATAAAAGTTAAATATAATGCATAATATGGAGATCCCGTCATTTCTTTTTTTCACCATGTTTCTTTTTTATTATTTATGTACAGCAATGCTAAATCTTGCTAAGCATTCAAAAGAGAGAATGTTTGCACCTGTTATCTATATTTTAAAATCGTTTTTTGTGTATGTTCAACTATTCACAATTACACAAAATTTTAACAGTCTATAGCCAAGACTGTTTGGATAATAAAAAGCAAAAACAAAAAAATTCCACTCCACGAACCTGCATCTCTACCTTAACTAGATGTTTAAGCATGGCTATAAATGAGTCAGATTTTATGTGTCATTACCAACCCTTGTATCAGATGTGATCACCAATGTATATACAAACAATGAAAACATGAAAAAAGGTAAGTTGATCATAGGCCATAGGCCATGACATACGGAAACAAAGCGTTTGAATACCGGCCTAATAGTACATATTACCGACATACCCATTCAGTGATGAGATACTGTTATATTGTAGTAATACCCGAATTGTTAAGGAGATTGACTGCATAGTATTTTAGCAAAATGGCCTTTCGAATAATGTCTGCTACAACCACCAGCATGCTTTCGCATGGCTGTGACCTTTAGACTCATTACCGGCGGTACACACCAACATTATGGCAGCGCGCCATTTATATAAGCGAGTCAGCAGACACTGTAATGGTGGTAGCGAAGGGTAAGTGATAACAAAATACAGCTCGACTACTGTAAGGACAGGTCGTAAATTGACTGAAAATTATAAATACCTGTAACTTTCTGTCATCAATTGAAAACAGGAGATTTCTGTGTAATAAACACCTTGTCATGAGACAAAAACATAGTCTACTTTGATTGGCTCTTCACACCAGGATAAGATATTCATGTGATACGTCACATGATACATATTCATGCGGTCGTCACATTCCTTCGTGTGGTAGTCATGTGAAGCGCTGACACAAAATCTATGACGTTATATAATTTGGTAACCCATGTTTTTCGTATTTTCGGATAACCAACAGTTAGCCTCTGACTCACATATCAATCCCCAGTTATTGAAGTAATTTGAAAACGTATTCGACTTAAAATGAGAAATCATCATCACTTGTTATGTAAAGCGGATAAACGCTGGAAGAAACAACCCATCAAACCTTTGTTTAAAATTCAATATTGACTTCAGTCTAGGGATATTAAAAATAACCGTTAAAAAGAAATTCAATAACTCAAATTTAGTCGAAAAATGCCTTTGTTTCACAAAACATGGCTGGTCACCATTTATTTACAAAATAATTCATAAAGTTGGAGATTGTCACATGATTTTTCATGATGTTTTCAAAGCCCAGCAGCAGAATATTATCTTGCATCTCCAGATTTACAGTACGCTTTTCTGGAACCTATTCTTACATACACAATAGTTTGCTATTTTTGTGGTGTGCGCTTATGTGTTCGTCTTTGTATATGAACAACTGTGATCCGTTTATTGTTATTGACTAATATTGACACCTCCTCATGGTGTCATCTTATGGGAAAGTACCTAGAATGGCCCGTTCCTATATATTAAGGTCACTGTGGTGGTCGGTAACACATAACTGTGGATAAATCGTTGTTGCTCACACCTCACTGTTTACACTTCACTGACAAATAAAAACGATATAGTCGGCTCGGTTGCTGTTGTATTGTATTGTAATACTATTTTTTAAAATTATTTTCCACATCTTCCTATTTTGTTTGTCTGTTTGAAATTAAACACATTGTATTTGGATATGTGCACAACAATATACCAAAACATGGTTTTGGGTTAAAAACATATATTTTTAATTTACCTTAAGGTTAGAAAAATTCAATCACACTTTCTTTTTTTAAATCTATAAATGATATTTTTCATTCAAATGCTACACGTCTATTCGAAGATAACCGACCACGACGTTGCCTCAGCTCTCAGGCTTCTACAACTACAACTTCTACAACTCGGATATGTCAGATCGGCGACACAAACGCATTTAGTTGTTAATTTGAACAACATATTTAGTGTTAATTTGAACCCTGGTAAATGTAATAAATTGTCACAATGAGTTGGTTGGTTACCGTGGTAACCATGGTTAGATAGGTTCAGCGTTTCGACTGATTTAGGCGTGATGATTTTTGGCATGGGTTAGTCAATAAATAACCAAATAAATATCTAGAAAAAACAACAACACAATGTAGATTGACTCGAGGCCAAGTAATCTTTCGCCCTTGAGAGGCATAATACAGGGTAACGTGAGCGGCATAATACACTATCATTCAACTACAGTGTATTAGCATAGCGAACACAATTGACTATACATGAATACTTGCACTTATATGAATAAACTTGCCACGAAATGCGAAATGCATCGCACTGAATGATACAATTTATAGTGCTAGTTAAGTCCGTATTAAGTCTGTGTTTAGTGTGTGAGAAACCGTGTATCACATGCGTGCAACGTGGGTATTAAACACAAACACAAAGCGACATGATAAATTCCCCTTATCTAAATTTAGTGAGCACTTCACAGATTATTCTACGATAATCACATAGTTTATTTAGGGGCTCGACGATTGCCGGGCAACTTGTTGAATTAGAAGTATGTACTGTGGATTTAAAGTATATTCATCATACATACTAGAACACAGAGAACAAACAGGATCCATACTGTAAATATCACATGTTAAATACAGTCATATTATCTCAATGCCATGATGATACTATAAACACACTATAGTCATATATTATATTGAGATAATGTATCCACAGCAAAACATAATATTCTGTTTAGAGAGAATATTACTGTTCATAAGTTAGATTTTTCTTAGAAGCAGTTACACAATTTAACGTTTGAGTAATTTTGGAGCCACTGCGTTCTTATACTCAATGTGTTAGATAGAATACACTTAATCTGCATGCAGATTGTATCGATAAATCGTGTATTTGGTCAATAATAGGTTGTTCGTGGTTAAGTTGTTGGCGACAGAGGGTAATCCCCTCTCTTCAATAGGTAGCCTTGGTATAGTCCTCCCACAGGATATGGTAGTGATGGTGATGACTTTTATAAATATTTTTGAGCCAGGCATGTAAGACACTGCTGTCATAGGTGATAATGCCAAGTACTAGAATACAAACCAGCCTCAGAAATCTACTTCCAATACTGCGTGCTTCAAGGGCAGGGCAAACTCTACTCAAATGTATACTGTTTAGTGAGCAATCAACTCTTTAAATCTACTCCAGAACCCCACTGATGCGAAGTGAACACGCTAAGCACTATACTACTGCATAGGCCGAGAAATATGTTGAGTTACCTTGTGACTACAATCAGGGTTAATGACAGTCGCCTGGGTCAGATGAGTCGTTAACCACTCTGGCCAAGTGGTGGAGTATTCTGTGGTATAAGAGACCCAGCAGGTCTCCTTTTGTATGGGAGCCACTGTAATAAGTTCGTCGTTAATGCTTATTATTGAGATATCATGATGTCATAGCACTAGTGGAAAGTACATAGAATGCCCCGTTACTTAATCTTAAGGCCATGGCGGTACGTTTGGGGTCGGTATAACATAACTAGCGGGGTTCTTTATGGTTCTTTGTGATCGCACTGTCCATTAATACATTCGCCGACAAAGTAAACAGAGCTAGTCGCAAAAACATTAGATCAAGCTATTATAGGCCAATCTGTGTTTAATTAAATATCCAGAAGTACGGAGAAGAGCTTGTGTTCCCCCGGGATTCTCGAACCGTGTGTACAACGCATGTCAAATTTCCATTACAGTTCAAAGAAAAAGATCAGTTATCAGCCATTTGAGTATTTATGTCATCAATCTGTGACGAATGAAATCGAATGTTGACTATTACAGTGAACTGGAAAAGATCAAGCTGTACCGTGGACAAGATGTCTTACGTGGCAAAATGAATTGTCGTTAAAACTCGGCCAATTAACTCTTCTTAATTTTATGAAATTCTTACTAATAAGGTCAGTCTCCCGACCCTAATTATTCAAAACGTCTTGGCGTCACCCACCAGTTCACATACGGAATGTTCCGCATTTACTGGAGTTGTTATGCAAATTAAGCTTAGATGCGTAGAATACCCAAATTTAATAATTATTTTAATCGTCATTCTAGCTTGAAATGAAACTGTATCTAATATACCGTATATACATACACATTGCGACGAGTGACAGCGACATAGAAGTGAGGTATCTAGCAGTGTGTACACCCCAACTCTACCAGTACGGGTAATATCGGTACTAGCTACTGTCGCCCACAATTAACAGACATAAACGCGCAATATTATGACGTGAAACATACATGACGTGAAACATACCTGAAATCAAAATGTTTCCAAAT